ATTTTTTTTTTCCAAAAAACAAGATTTTTTAATTATATTTTCCTAACCTAATATAATTTTTTTAGCTGCCAATTTATTAATTGACAATAACGGCATTCTTAAGATTGCAGATTTTGGTCTTTCACGTCCGATAATAAATGACAAATCATTAACTGGATGTGTGGTAACGCGGTGGTATAGGTCACCGGAATTATTACTCGGTGCAAAACATTATTCAATCGCAATCGATATGTGGGCAATTGGGCAAGTAATTGATTATTCCTTGATTTCTTTCGTGGCTCTTACTCGTTTAATGTTATGCTAATTTGGTCATTTTTGTTTCTAGGTGCGTTTTTGGCGAGATGTTAAGAAGGCAACCAATACTGATGGGTTATTTTCAATTTAGAAAATTATAAAATATCGTTAGCTTCATACCAGTAACTAAATTTATTTATTATTCTAATTGATTATAGGGCATTCTGATATTCATCAATTAGAGATCATTTATAAATTATGTGGAACACCAACAGCTGATACCTTTAAGGGTTTGGGAACACCAGATCAGCAGATCGAACCTGAGAAAGAATTACCGCGAAGAGTGATTTCCGAATTTGAAAGGTTGTAAAAAAATTCCTATTATTTATGAATCATTCGATCGTTTTTTAATAATAATATTTTTCTAGGCATGGATCACAAGCAGCGGAACTAATGGATAGATTGCTTGTACTTGATCCAAAACATCGGTTGACTGCATTTCAGGCATTAGACCATGATTATTTCTGGACAGATCCTTTGCCCGCAGAACCCAAAGAGTAAGTTATAATAGTCAACATTTTTTTTTATTGAAAAGTTTTATTGACGCGGATTTGATTATTAGTTTACCGCAGTATGAATCAAGTCACGAATATAGTCGTCGTAATAAACAAAAGGAGAAGAAAGAACATAAAGCCGAGGAAATTTCTACAAGAATCACATCAGCCGAGAAACATTCCGAAAGGCAAGAACGGTTTGAACGAAAAGATCGCAAAAAGTCAAAAAGGATGCGAAGTCCTGAAAGACAGCGTGATCCACACGAACCTAAAAAGCGTAGTCGATATGTCACGCGAACAGACAATCATGATCAACCAAAAAACCGGCGGAATTCAATTGACGAAATGAAAGATAATTCGAAGCGTGGGCGTAATAAAGACAAAAGACATAGTCCAGAAGGCGACGAACAAAATGATAATTCTGATCCGCCTATAAAGCGTAACCGACAACGTCATCATCCACTCCCGGAAAAACCGAAAACTACGGCAGACGTTGATAAAAAATAAGATTATCATTTGGTTTTTATTGATGGCGAATTATAAACCGAGTTATAAGGATCGAATGGCATAAACCTTTATACATTAATAACAATTACAAAATTGAAGTAAAGTACTAATGGTTTTATTGGCGGGCTATAAACCGCGTCATAGGAGGACATATAAACTTTATATACTAATAATAATGCATATTATAGTATCAACCTTATTTAAAAAATTTAATATTAACAATATTAACAAGTGAGATGAAGTAATAAAGTAATATAACATAAAGCATAAATCATAAATCATCTGGTTTTATGATTTTAAATTGTAAAAAAATAATTAAAATAACAATATGTGAATTTGCAAACAAACTCGTTAAATCTATTACATAATTCATATTACACAAAACAAACATCTTAATATTAATTTATTTCACAGATATAGTAGATCATATAATGTTCCCTAGAATATTTTTCAATCCGCTCCAAAAAGCGAAAAGTACCTTTCCCGTAATACTTTCAAATTCAAATTCACTAGTTCTTCCGTACATTTATTTAAATCAAGTAACATATATAAAAGCATTAACCCTTCAAGAATTTTTAGTTAAAAGTAGAATAGAAAATAAATTGGAGGATGATTTGTTGTTGTTGGTACAGCATCCACCTACTTATACCACTGGTAGAAGAGATAAGGGAAGGGGAGAATTTGAGAGACTTCGATTACAAGAATTTGGCGCAGAATATCATGAAGTAAATTATCGAAAGGGTGGTTTTTTTTTTAATTTGTTGATTTTATAATTTTTATCATTATTATAGACCTTGAGGGGCGGACAAATTACGTTTCATGGACCTGGACAATTGGTTGGATATCCAATTTTGGATTTACGGAATTATAAGGTAAAAATTTTAAATTAAATTAGTAATAAAGAGATATATATATAAAAAATTATACATAATAATTTTATGATAGCTTTCGGTAAGATGTTATGTTGCTGCTATAGAACGGATGATTATAGACACGTGTATAAAATATGGTATAAAAGCCAAAAACACCAAGAATACGGGAGTTTGGGTGAACGATCAAGAAAAAATATGTGCAATAGGTAAAATTATTAAATTTTTATTTAATTTTTTTTATCAAAAATTTTTATATAAATTAATTTTTGTTCTAGGAATTCAAGTACAAAGATACATAACTTCACATGGATTTGCATTGAACTGTAATACAGATTTAAATTGGTTTAGTCATATAATTCCATGTGGATTAGAAAATAAACAGATGACGTCCATTTCTAAAGAACTAAGTAAATTAAGGGGTGAGGAGGAGCAAATTGGTGTGGAGGAAGTTTTACCAAATCTATGTAATAGTTTTGGTAGGATATTCGATCGCGAAGTTATTTCTCTCTGTGAATCAAATTTACAATCGAAAAGTATCATATTAAATTATTTAGAAAATAATTTGGATTATATTTTATAAATGTAATTTGTGTGTAAAAAAAATCACAATGAATGTTATCTCAAATGTTCAAGCGAAAAAAAAACATTCAATTAAAAAACTTTATATCTAGGATAAAAATATTTGTTTATAATCAACCCCATATTATTAAATATGTTTAATATAGTTAATATAGTTAATATATTTAACATAAATTAAATGTATATATAGAAGACTAAATTCATTAGAAAAAGATAACTATCAATTGATAGATGCAATCTGATCAGTTCAGTGATGGCTGTGTGCAACCTTTCTTTTTGTAAAGATAACATAAGGCTACTCTTTCCTATTTGTGATTAATTCTCCTTTTTGTATTTCTTATTTTAGTATTTTTATCTTTTAGTTTGTTTATTTACAGTATCAATAAACTCTTTTTTACCTAAGACATCTTTGTGATACCTTGTATTAGAAACGTAATTAACATTTGACTTAATTGATAGAAATATACTCAATAGTGTATTAAATATACTTAGCAGATGAATCATACATTCATCAAAGATTTGAATATATTTTTCAGTATATAACAAAACCTTGTTTAACTTGAAAATTATAGATTTTACTACGTAAACTATAAAAGAGTCAACCTTTTGACATCACATCTAACAGTTGCAATCTGAAAAGATTGCACGTTAATATTTATTTTTTTTTTAAATAATTTGTTATTATTCTTCTTAAATGATTTATTATTATTTAAAAGTAATAATTTATTATTTAATTAGAATAATATATTATCATTCTTTTTATTAAATAATTTATTTTTTTTATTGAACAATTATTATCATTAAACTAAATAATAATTTAATTTAATATATTATAATTTTAATTGGTTAAACTATTAACTCAGTTTAGGTCAAGTAATATATTGATCTAATTTATCATTAATCTGAAAATTACTAATTTAATCTGAATTTTTCAGATCAGAAATAATTTGATTTAAAGCTTTATTATTAATTAATATACTATATATCAATAGTTATTTGTCAAGAAAATATGATTTTAAGACTTTTCATTTAATTTTTTTTGACTAATTTTTTTAATATTTATATATTTATTTACATATTATAATATATAAATTTATCATATGATTTAGCAATTAATCATTTTTATTAATAATATATACAATTTCTTATAATATTAAAATTTCTTATATTTTCCTTATAATTATTATGTTATTTGAAATTCTGTATATATTTGTTATATTAAAATTTTACTATAAATAATTCTTAAAAAAATATATATTCCTTAAACTGTAAGTATAAAATTGTTTCTAAAATCTTTTA